GAAGTTTTTAATGAAAAGGACTCGCGCGAACGGCAAGCCTGGTAGCAAATTATTCTCTCGCGCCGCGCCGGTCTCCAACCGTCGAGCCTGCTTTTACTACTTCGGCGCGCATCCTGCCATTTATCATTTACAACGTGCAATCGAAGACGGAGGGGCAGGACGTAACGAGAGTGTTGTACAAGGTTTCCGAGTTGTGGTACGACCGCGTGCGCGCCCCGGTGTGTCTTGTAGCTGGCGCTGGAGCGAGAGGAGAGCAAAGCGGGAGATAAGCCGAAACGAGATCGCTATCGAGGCGCCGTTAGGCTGTTTGTCACCTCTCGCGAGCGCGTGGGTCGCCGCCGCTACCGTCGCTCGCGAAAACAAGTATGCGTGGTGTGGTTTTTAAAGCTGCGCTGCGTCGGATATCCTGGTCAAGGCGGGGGGGAGCCGGCGGCAAAGAGCCGATTCGAATTCAGTCCGGCCGCATTCGGCCCATTGCATTCGCGCGTGGCAGCGCGATTATCGTTCAATTATTCCGCTTTGCGTCTTCTTTATGGGAACGGCGGACGTATTATTTGTAAAAAAAAATCGAATTCTAGACAAACTCGGGAATCTTGAGAACAATGTAAAGGAAGCGTTGAATCCCATTGTTACAATAATAATTACGGGCATTACCTTGAAATATATATATAATCAAATAATTAAATAAATTAATTAACTCGATTTTTCGTCACAAATAATTTAGAAAAATATCTTTAAAGAGCCACATGTGTGAAATTGAAATTTTGAAATCGCAACTGAAGCTGGCGTTTTCTCTCTCCATCTCTTCTCTACTTAAACGCGCTCACGCGTTATCATCAGTTCCAAGTATATTAATTTACAATTTTTTTTCGAACTCGGCGTTCTCGGAGATGTTACGGAGAATGCCGAGGATTAATCGTAAGATGTATCATCGGTAGCGGTCTATTAGCGAAATAGGCTGCGAGGCTGTTCGTCATTTCACGCTTGACTAGTTATGTCGCGGCATAAGCTGGCTCGGCCGACACGCGATCTGCACACGGCGGCGCGCGACAGCTCTCCCGTCCTCCTCCTCTCCGCCCCTCTTCCCTCCCTCTTCGTCTCTCTCCTCTCTCTCTCTCTCTCTCTTCCACCTTCGAGTCCCTCCTCCTCCTCCCCCCTCCTCCTCCTCTTCTCTCTCTCTCTCTCTCTCTCTCTCTCTCTTTCCAACCCTCTCGACGAGAAACCGTCTCTCCCGTCCCTCACGCCGTTCACCGTTTCACGACATGAGAGCGGTGAGAGCTCGCGATGGCATAGGGAGAACAAGACGGAAATAAGATACGACACAGCTGATACGCCCTCGCCCTCGCCGATTACGCGCGCTAGGTGTACGCCAGAGATTGTCGATGATGTCATTCTCAGCTATACGCTCGTGGCGAGCCAAGTGCAGGACATTGGTTGACCGATTATAGATATGGTCTTGTCGCGGATACGAAGGCGACGGCGAGGGAGAGACTTTCAATGGAGCATGCAAATTTCATTATCGACTCGTAACTGCGATTGCGAGACCACGCATTTCAATTAGTAATTGGGCGCTCCGGTGATGCTCGTAGACAGATTTGATTCAGATTCAGAAGAAATAAAGCGAACCAGCCGGAAACGGCGGAGAACTGACGTAAAGTGTCAGCTGTATCATGATATCTGACACGTCTTCCTCAATCTGTGTCGTAGCTTCTTTCATATGTAATTTTCTCTTTTATTTTATGATATCTCCGTACATGATCTTCATCGCGTTAATTAAATTGACAAAGCATCAATGTTTTCATAATGTGATGGTTTCTTAGTTGGATGGAATTGTCAGGATGGAGAATACACCACATAGCATTTCGAATGTGATAATAATTATTTAATGTGATATATCGTACATAGTGGCGCTGAGTCTTTGGTCAAACTCGACAACGATTTTCAAATAATTCTTACGACCGCTTGTATTAGACTCTACTTATCGAATGCTCGCGAGTTTTACATTTCCAGCCACTTTTCCGGCGAAGTTCGCGAAGGGGAAAGTACGCAAACGACACATGTGGCAAAAACCGAGTGAGAACCAATCGCAATACTGAGAAATATAAACTTCTTATTACTGTCTTTGGAATTTTCCTATCGCTCGCATTTCCAACGATCACGATTCTAGATTTCTCACGGAATCAAATATGTTGGTTTTATACGCCGATAGCAAAAAATGTCTACAATAGAGATACTGTCATCGGCGCGATCTAAAAAAAAATTAAGAATTTAGAATTAATTTCGACTTGACTTTTTCTTGAGTTGTACTCGTAAATTATTGCGGAAACGGTAACGCGCCGGTTATATGGGTCAATTCTCGGTAAATTCTCTTGATAAACCCCGACGAGACGAAATTCGTGTTGGCGACAAAGTGAAGGGAGGTTTGTGTGTTGTTCGGAGCCGGAGCAAGCTGCGCCAACGATATCAATCATCCTGCGCGACTGAGAGCGGGACTTTCACCACGACGACGACGACGACGACGTCGATGCGGCCCCGGCCGTACGAAATTCTAGCGGCGCGCGTTATAAAACTTCTCGATACGGCCGTCGGAGTTCTTCCGCGCGATCACCTCCACGCGAACGCGTCCACTCACGATCCATCATCGTATTATCTTTGCCAAGGAGAAATCGCGCGGCGGCTCAATGGTATCGTTGATCCGTTCCGCACGGCGGGAATCGGTAGCGCACTCGATCCGGCTGATCGAACATGCACTCGTTCAAGACGATTCTTCGCTCGCGTCTCGCCTACGCACGATCGCCGAGATAGCGTGACGATGAAGAAATAAGCCGAGCGGAAGGAGACGCCGAGTTGGTGTACCGATGTCGGTGTAGCTTTTTCGCAAATCATCGAGCGAAGTCGGAAATTTTATCCAGAAGACGATGGATGTGCCGTGTTCTAAATTAATCTTCAAAATTTTACGCATTTGTTAACGACCGATAAGTTTTGATGATTTTGCAATTGATGTTATATGATTAATAATTCAAATTATCCAACGTGATAGATTAATAATACATCTGCAACATAGCAAGTGCGTATTGTTTCTCGTGCTAATGTTCAGTGTCAATATATGTTTAATAGAAAAGACCGAACGATACATCATTCGGAGGTCTACGGGAGAGAACGCAACGCGAAGGGCGCTATATATTAAAAGCTACCACTGATGTGCTGCGCCATATTTCTCAGGGCGAATTTTATTGAGGAAGTTAGGCGGAGGATTGAAGGAGGAGGAGGAGGAGGAGGAGGAGGAGGAGG